TAATGCTCTTTCAAAATATTTAATAAATGTAAAAACAGAATTACCATCAACACCCCCAAGAAGTTGTGCTAATAGATTTTTGTCTATTGTCTGAAATGTGATTCCCACTACATGGCAAACAAATTTTCTTATTGAATCTTGAAATCCTACAATCCTATCACAGAGATCAGACATGGAAAGGACTCTATCCCAAAAATGTTGAAAGTCACATTGTTCTAATATATCTCCTAAATACATAATTTGATTAATAGGACTTTCCTGCATCTGTAAAATAATTTTTAGATTATTGTTAAGTTGTATATTATAAAAGGTTGGTGGTGGTTAGTAAAATTTTTATTTATGTAACAAATATAAGTAAGAAATTATATCTTTTATATGAAATGTTTTATCATCTATTATAATTGTGTCCATTTATTAAAATTATATTTAATTAACATATGTTATGCATAAAATTACCAGTTTATGAAAACATAAGAAATAGGTTTATAAACAAATAACTTACAATTCTTTCACTGAGAAGACATTTGCAAAGAACAAAATCAGTGTGAGGAAGATTTGTCAAAGCCTTTAACAATATTTGACAAGTAATATCCATGTTAAATCTGTGTGGATTCAATTGATACAGTTTCAAAACTGCTAAATTGGCCTCTAAATCATATGCATTTTCTCTGGATTGTATTTCAACATATTTTTCCAGAGTCGCTAAATGTTCTGGATTGTATCTGAAATTTGTTTGGTTAAATTACAAAAAAGGGTATTCCGAATTATGTTGTCTAACGCATACGATAAGACATACGCTAGTAATATGTAAAAGATTTAAGTAACAAAATTGTAACATAAATTAGCAATTATGTTTAAAAAAGGATTGTATATGTTATTCTCAGGTACTGTTTCACATTATCAAAGTACATTATAATGGCGGGCAGAATTTGGTTAAACATTTGGTTTTAAGAATAATGCGTACCTTTCGATGCCTTTTAACATTCCAGCTACGGTTTGACGCATTGCTTCAGCCATTGTGTCAAAAAAAGATTATTTCCTTAATTTCTTATTATAATCAAGCAACAGATTGCTGTGTGATTTATAAAAAAAATGAATCGTGTTAGGTTAGAAAGCACAACTATTCAATGCACACGGTGACAGAATCTTGCAAGGCTGCCAAATTTGGTAATAAAAATGATACCAACCTATAGAAGTTTTTTTCAAAACAGACAATTTACGTGCTCATCTGCTATGCTTTATAATTACACTTGTGTTAATGGTAAAATAATTGTATTAAATATAATCAAAATATTAATACATGTATTTCATGTGTATTAAATTAATAGGAACTAACGATTCACAAGTTATTAATAAAGTGCTTATTATCTATATAAAGTTTTGTTTCATGTACAGAATTGTAATTGCATATGCATGTTTTATTATATTTAATTCAATGTTTTACACAAAGACACGATTTTAATAATAAATATGTTACTTTGCCAGTATTTTAAATGTTTTGTTTAATTACAAACAATTTTTCACCTTTTTGTTATATGTTTCGATCACTGTACTTTCTGTTAATGTGTACTATATGTTAATCAATCAATGGGATTACCTGTTTTAACATATCTCATGGAATCAAAGGTGGCTCGACTCGTAAAAAAAGATGTGACCCGCAAAGTAATTCTTAACGCGGTTCCCGCGCCACTTCCCGCACATCCTCTAGTCATTGGGGATGCTCCCCTCTGCCGTGCTGACCGTTAACGAGCAATCAAACTGCATGCGCTCGCGCGCAAAGTATAAAAATTAGTTATGCTAAAAATTTCCTGTTTCGCGAAAAAATGTCAAAAATTCGAACACCACGTGTTGAATTTTTCTCGTAAATTTTTATCAACATCAATTTTTTTCACTCGGTTAACTAAGAAACTTTTACCAATGGCACATTTTTTCTCCCGAATAAAAATTTTAACTGCAAGGTTTTATACGAAAATTCTTTCGTTTCCATTTTTAATCGCCAATTCGATTATCATAGATCGAAAAGTAGTGTCTATCTATAGTAGATGCTTCGGGATTTGTGTGAGTTAATGTCGATCATCCTGATGATCTATATTACGGAGTGTACCCAGAACGGATGTAGCGATAGATCGGTGTCACGTGAACCCTCCGGATATACTAGCTTCCTAGTCTTGCTCACCTACTTTATCGCACTCTTCCATTTCGTCAGAAAGTACAGAAACTTACTTGTTTCATGTACAGAAGCCGTAGTTTCTATAACAAGAATAACACCAGGCGAAACTCGATATCCTTACTTCCTTAACATTTGCAAAACGAATCTTCGGAACATCGTTCAATAATATGTACAATAAATTGTTACTTTAAAAACAATAAAATTCTCTAAACTATAGGAATAATGAAAATTTCTCTTATTTCCAAGATTAGATCTTCTTCGATCAAATAAAAAAAAACAAAACCCTGCAATCAGTATCAGAGACAAAACTGTCTGTTACATTTTTAAGGAACGTCTCTTTTCTATCTGCGATATGAGAGCGCAAGTAATTCTAACCAACGTGTTTCAGCCGCGTCAGAATCGGCGGGTTAAGATTTGAAGGAAATGATCTAAGAAAATGATATCCGCGTATAAGGGAAAATAGATAGATGCGCACATATATCGGAACAGTGACAATAAAGAGCACAGCATCGTCGGGATAGCCGTCAACTTGATGATGATATACTGTTGCGATCTTGGTGACCCTCTTTCTCCTTGTTTTCCTCGTCCCCTCTTGCCCCCGTGCGCGCGAGCAGGCACGAGTGAGCGCGCGCGGAATAAACGCGTGACACCGATGTAAACGGCAAGGGTGGACCGGGGGAAAAAAAGGAAAAGGGGGATCCCCCGATTTCGTACCCCCGATATTTCAGCTAGTCCGCCGTCGAAAGGGAACTCCAGATTCCAGTTCTGAGCGGGCCGGCTGAGCATTCGCATCGTCGTCTCTCTCAGAGATCGAGGATCGAGACAGGCGGATAAGAAAGAAAGAAAAAAGAGAAAAAGAACAAAAAGTTGACAGAAAAGAGGGAAAGTAAGGGAAAGAAAAGCGAACGGTTGTAGCGTTCTAATCGTTTATGTAGATCGTAATATAGTAATCGATGATCGTAAGGTCGTTAGAACCGCCAGGATCAAGAGAACTTGTTAACTCTTGATCGTTGAAATACATCTTAATTTTTACCGGATCGAAGGTTCCGTCGAATTGTAGTGTTTTCGTACCCACCGTTTTTCACTCGAGGACTCGTTTCAAGCACGGAAATGATGCCGCCCGTTCGTCCCGTTCGCCGAGCTGTTGCGTGAAGGATCAAGTGTGCAGTGCAGTGCATACGATATTCGATTCTTTTGAGAAAGTTCCATTGAATCGGGCGTTTCCCTATTCCGCGCTGCCGCTTCTTCAACTTCCGCTACTTCTTCTTCTACTCACGAATCGTCGGAAAAATCTTCGCGAGGAGGAGACCCACAACTGTGACACACCACGGGAGCGCAACTTTTGCACGGCTGGCTGACACAGTGTCGTGAGATTGATAATCGGTTACAGTTAGGTTTGTATAAAGCTACTTTGTCACCCGTGAATTATCATCTTAACCTGGCCGTCATTGACCGAGAAACGAAACGTCCACGGGAATGACGGTACAGAAAAGAATCGTAGGAAGAAACTGAATCGCGGAACCTTAGGTGAGGAACTAATTAAAATAGTAAGGGAGGAATTCAAGATCATAGCAATGTCGGTTATGCGGAACAACGCATTCTCGGCTAATTAGAATATAGCTGTTTTTTATGAGCGTGGAAGAGGAAGAGGGAGCCGGGCAATAGATCGGCCGCGAAGGGGCCAGGGAAGGATGAGCTTTGGGGGAACGCGCACGGACTCGGATATTCATTACAGGGTTCCCCAGCCGGACATTCGTATTTAACCGGATCGCATCGATGTTACTTTTACGCCTTGAATTTTTTTTCTCTTATTGATCTTCATGTCAGAAACTGCGCTGTCCTTTCCTTCATTCACGGTTCGTTCGGTTCCACGACGGAGAAACATCGAGTCCCTTGATCTTTAAGAAAGACACAGAGGAAAGACATTATTAACGATGTTTTACAACTAGACTGTCTGTTTGCTTCTCAATTTTAATATAATTATTAAAACGATAAAATGTAAATTTGCGAATGTTTCCTTGCGTCCAATGGTTAGAATTCAGAATTTTCGCGCTGTCTCGGATTTCCATTCTCAGCTGGTATCCTTGAATTTCAACGTGTAATAGCTTTCCGCAGATTTTCCACGCGAGAAAACTCAAATCGTATCCGGTCCCGGAAAAAGAACTCGGTCAAACTTGTTTTCTGCAAACTACATCCTTCTAGCGAACCTTGAAAAAAGAATCGGGTATAGGTAGTGTACCTACTACAAGGAGAGAGTACGGCTTAACGAATAAAAAAGGGAAAAAAACGATTAAAACGTCGTATAGCAGAGAGAAACGTAGGGACACGAATTTGTGACATGTATCATTGTCGACAGAAACACTGTTATGTCTTCGCGGTAGTTCCGCGACCACTAGAGGAACACGCGAGAGTGGCCATCGATAGCGAGGGAACCTTTTCACGGCGAGCGGAATAGATCGATCAAAATGACAGAAGCATCGAGAGAACCTGACCTCGCGGATCCCGAAAATCCTGACAAAACAACGTTGAACGTAACATCAGCATCTAATAAAACGAAGCCGCTACCAGAGCGTGGTACATGGAGCACTAAGCTAGATTTCATTCTGAGCGTGGTAATTTCTTTTTTTTTTTCAAACAATAAAATATCTTATCTGTTACTTTTTGTTCGACCAACACCAGATTTCTTAATACGTATCTTAACATTTTTCATTGAATTCCGTTCGAAGGTTGGCCTAGCAATCGGTCTGGGAAACGTTTGGAGATTTCCGTATCTATGTTACAAGAACGGCGGTGGCGCTTTTTTAATTCCATATTTTCTGACACTGGTTCTCGCTGGAATTCCAATGTTTTTTATGGAATTGGCCCTTGGTCAGATGCTCACCGTTGGCGGCCTCGGTGTCTTCAAAATAGCGCCCCTTTTTAAGGGTATCGGATACGCTGCCGCAGTCATGTCCTGTTGGATGAACGTTTACTACATCGTTATCCTCGCCTGGGCAATCTTCTACTTTTTCATGTCCATGCGTAGTGGTTAGTTCGATTATGCATCATGCTTAAGTAAAAGAAAAAAAAATAAACAGATCTATTAGAAATTGATCCTTTCTTTTTCTTCGTTTAATTAGAATTGCCATGGGGAAGTTGTAACAATTCTTGGAACACGAAAAACTGCGTGAATCCATACGACAGAGATTCGTTATTTTGCTGGTTCGAGCTGACCGCGCAAAATAATGTTGTTAAAATGTGTTCCGTTAACGACGTCAATGTGACGATCTCCGAGCTCACTGATCCGGTCAAAGAATTTTGGGAGTAAGTTTGATTAGGCAGCTGATATTATTGTGAAAAAATTACTTCGTCACGTAAGATACTAATTTTATAGACGTCGAGCACTTCAGATCAGCGATGGCGTGGAGCACGTGGGGAATATTCGTTGGGAATTAGCCGGTACTCTCCTTTTGGTCTGGATTCTCTGCTATTTTTGCATCTGGAAAGGCGTCAAGTGGACTGGAAAAGTGGTGTACTTCACATCTTTATTCCCCTATGTTTTGCTAACGATCCTTTTGATTCGGGGAATCACTTTACCTGGAGCCATGGAAGGGATTCAATTTTACATTAGTCCGAATCTATCGAAGTTAAAAGAATCAGAGGTAGATATATCTATATATAAATATAATTATTTAACAATAGCATCTCTTTATTGGTCGTTCTCTTTTAACAATAAAGTCTGTTGAATTTTGCAGGTGTGGATAGACGCGGTTACTCAAATTTTCTTCTCATACGGTTTGGGTTTAGGCACACTGGTAGCTCTTGGTAGCTATAACAGATTTACGAACAACGTTTATAAGGACGCTTTAATTGTCTGTTCGGTGAATTCTTCGACGAGTATGTTCGCTGGGTTCGTCATATTTTCCGTGGTAGGATTCATGGCCCACGAGCAGCAAAAACCTGTCGCAGAAGTCGCTGCTTCCGGTCCAGGATTGGCTTTCCTAGCATATCCTTCCGCTGTTCTTCAACTTCCTGGAGCGCCACTTTGGTCTTGCCTGTTCTTCTTTATGCTACTTCTCATAGGTTTAGATTCGCAGTTCTGTACCATGGAAGGGTTTGTCACTGCTATGGTGAGTAACTTTTCGATCTCTTTCGAAGTGTAAGTCGAATAAAGTGTTTTGAATTTTTTTTGTTTGTTTTTGTAATAGAAATTTATTTTAAATTACTGAAAATTCAAGGTGGACGAATGGCCGCAGTTGCTTCGTCGACGTAAAGAACTCTTTATCGCCATCGTATGTGTACTTTCATACATTATCGGATTATCTTGCATCTCGCAAGGTGGTATGTACGTTTTCCAAATTCTGGACTCGTATGCAGTTTCTGGATTCTGTCTTCTTTTCTTAATATTCTTCGAGTGCATCTCGATAAGCTGGGCATTTGGCGTCAATCGATTCTACGATGCTCTCAGAGACATGATAGGATATTATCCTCTTATGTGGTGGAAACTTTGTTGGACTATTACCACTCCCATGATTTGTGTCGTAAGTTCATTTTATAATCTATATTTTATAATTCAAAGGTAGACAAATTTTTTAATTTTTTTAAATCACTCTGTTTCTCGTCGTTTCAGTTTTTCAATTCAGTATTTCGATGTGAACAAGAGTGATTCTTAACGTTTTGATAATCATTGCAACGTTTTCTCGTTTGTATTAATATCGCTTATTTATCCCGAATCTATTCTCACACGTGAAACATTTTATCAGGGCGTGTTCATCTTCAATCTCGTACAGTGGACACCTGTAAAATATTTAGATTATGAATATCCATGGTGGTCACATGTGCTTGGCTGGATGACGGCGTTATCTTCGATGCTTTGCATACCTGGTTACATGATTTATGCCTGGATGACAACGCCAGGAGATAGGTCTACGGTGAGCAGCATCTTTTCGAGTTTTCGATCGATTTTTCGCCTAATAAATAAAAATGCAATTATTTTTTCTCATCCTTTTTTCCTTTTTTTTTCTTTTAGAAATACAAGTTGTTAGTACGAATAGAGGACGATGTAACAAGTCTGCGAATGAAAATGGGTCAGCCATCGGTCGAACTGACACCACTTTAACTGCCACGGATTCGTTTTCAATCCTATAAATTTAACGAGTTAACGGAGTAATAATAACATCATTTAACGTTATTATTCTCGTGTAATTGTTTTGTTAAATTATTTTTATCGTAGTTTCGAAAAGAATTCTTATTGTGTTCCTGTTTACGAGAGAAAAAATTATACTATTTAAATGAACTTTTTTTATGATATATAGATGATGATTAGTAAATTAACACCGCAAAATCACAAGGCGACTAAAGTGTTCAAAAATCGCGTCTAGGCTTAGTTTAAGTATATTTAGAGAGTAATTTACCTAAGTACAAGAACAAATTTTTGGCATACACGAATAGTTGACTGTAATGTACCTCTATGACGGATTGTTGTTTCGTATTTTTTAAAATCGTCTCGAAAGTTGAAATAATCGAAGTATGTACATACGTACTTTAAAAGTGTTCAAAAATTCTAAAACTATTCGTGTAAGCCCGGTCACAAATTTAGCTGCTAACTTATTTTAGCAATATCGGGCGTGTACCATAAATGAAAACTATTGCACATCTTGAATTTAATTACAAAATACACATATCTACGCTGCCATAATTATTATATTTTGCTGTTCAATTGATCGTTAAGCCGAAATATTTTTTTTTTGCAATTCGAAAAATATGTCGGTGTACGTATGATTTTGCAGATGTATGTGTAAATTTTATTCTTAATAAAAATGGTAGATTTACGTAGGGAAGAATATCGTAGTAGACATCCATTGCATTACCAATAGAAAAAAATTATTACTATTCCATTAAGCCGATCAACTGTTTAAAATCTCTTTTTGACAAAATCCACTACGTATTTAATTAAAAATTATTACGACTAGTTATTTTATTAGTATCTGGTGTAGTAACATATGTTACCTGCGTGTTTCTCGTACGAAATGCAAAACGAGGGTTTCATTCGATGTGAAAAAAGAGAAAAACCAAAAAGAAAAATCTGTATGAAAAAGTTTTTGGTAAATAAAGATGACTATTGAAAATTTGTTTCTTATTAAATTATATTACTTTTATATTTCGTAGTTTCTAATAGAATAGAAGTAGGATATAGAAACTGTATTATCAATTTCATCGTTAATTATTTTAAAATTATTTTTGAATTATCATAATTATACCTGGGTACGTATAGAAAACCATGGAATATGCAAAATATAGTAAGGACACGTCGTAAGATTCGAATCTTCTTCTCATGTTTCAGTTTTTTAAATATTTTTTTTTAATAAGTTTTCGATTAAGGATATTATTTAATGTTTATGCTATTTATAATATTTACAGTTTTTAACACTTGATACTTTGTTGTTATTAAAGGGAAATAAAAAGTTTTAAAGCATCAAGATGGCAGCTCAGTTAATATAACGGGTGTAAAATAATTAGAAGTTGAATTCTTCATGAGTATTTTTTGGAAATGCATTGAGGTGGTTTTCACGTGCATTTAAAAAAAAAGTAATACAGTTTTTAATAACATTAATTTTGCCTTCAGTTGCTGATAAGGCTACACTACAAAATTAATTATTTTAACAAACACAGTAAATAAATAACATGATAGAAAAAAATGAAGAGAACGCCGATAATGACAACAATCTTGTCAGGATAAGACTAATAGCTGATAAAAGAACGTTTTTAGAAAAACAGTTTCTTCAGGTAATTTTTCTTTGTTTATGTTTTGTTTCATAGATATATTTGTTTAATAACGATTTTAAGGTTATAGCCTTTTAATTGTTTTCGTGAGAATTTTTGTGTATGATTCTTCTCTTCTTTCTTAATTTTATTCCTCTTTTTAATGTAGATATTTTATTCTTTCCATACTGTCAATACTGTCAACATGAATTTATTCTTAATGTTTCAAATTTTATACAATTTATTAGTTAATTACAATTACATACTATATATTTTTATTAAGATAATATAAATAATTTCAAGGTTCAAGAAGAAATTAAAATATGTTTTGCTCAACTAGCACAAACATTATATGCTAGAGAGAAACAACTTTTACGACAATCAGAAGCAATTTATACGCAGCAAATATCATTGGCATTATCCAGTCAAGAAATTCTTCTTCCATCTATAGCAATATTAAATGAAAGAAGTGCTTTGGAAGAACAAATTAAACAATTTGGAAGAATAGAACTTACAGGATCCAATACAACAGCAATAACTAATTTGGAACCTTATAAAATTGAAGAATATCAGGACATAAATAAAGATCATGTTTGTTTTGATAAGTCCATTAAAAGCACAGGAATTATTTCCACTGATACAAACATTGAATTTTCTTGTACAGCAGAAGATAAAAATGTAGAAAATGTTTGCACTGGATTTAAAACATCCAGTGTAATAAATTTAACAGCAAAATCCAGTCACATTTCTAGTTTTTTTAACAAAAACTCTGAGGAAAGTGTTGATCATTCTTCAAAGACAAATACAGAATTACAGAAACATGATGTTAGTCTTGAAACTACCAGTGTAAATCAGCAAGAAAATATAAACAATTATAAAAATTCAAAAAGAAATATCATGGAAGAGCAATATAATTCTCATGGACATACAGAACAAGTTCAACAATGGTTGGATCAAATAATTCTAGAGACAGAAATAGAACCAACCATTCATGAAGTGGAAAAATTACCAGATATATCAGATGCTTATGTCTGCACTAAGTTGCAATTAGAAACATAAAAGCTATATTTAATTAAATAATTTACTTAGCCCACCGTGTAATTTTTTACAATGTATTTATTTCTAATTTTCCATAAGATAGGAAACCTCAGTTGTGGAAGAATTTTTTACTACAATTGGTTCATTTTCATTATCTTACTCTCTTTATTTATTTGTATACTATAATAATAATTAATTACAAAATGTTTTCTTTAGTAGCTAAAGATTAAAAACATTATTAGTTAGGAAACAAGTTTATATCTTCATTAATATTGAACAACTAGTAATCATTTTTGAATGAACAATTCTAATTCTAATATCTGTGAAGTAAGGAAAGCAGTACTTTAATATTGTTTTAGTTGTATAACATGCATAAACAGTGATATTAAAATAATTTAAAATATATTAAATATGTTA